CCAGCTGTGATACAAAGACCCTCCCAGCTGTGATACAAAGACCCTCCCAGCTGTGATACAAAGACCCTCCCAGCTGTGATACAAAGACCCTCCCAGCTGTGATAAAGACCCTCCCAGCTGTGATACAAAGACCCTCCCAGCTGTGATACAAAGACCCTCCCAGCTGTGATACAAAGACCCTCCCAGCTGTGATACAAAGACCCTCCCAGCTGTGATACAAAGACCCTCCCAGCTGTGATACAAAGACCCTCCCAGCTGTGATACAAAGACCCTCCCAGCTGTGATATAAAGACCCACCTAGCTGTGATATTAAGACCCACCTAGTTGTTACGCTAAGACCCACCCAGTTGTGATATAAAGGCCCTCCCAATTGTGATATAAAGACCCACCTTCCTGTAATATTATGACCCATCCAGCTGTGATATTAAGACCCATCCAGCTGTAATACAAAAACCCACTCAGCTGTGATATAAAGACCCACCCACTTGTGATATTAAGACCTTCCCAGCTGTGATCTAAAACCCACTTGTAATATTAAGACTTTCCCAGCTGTGATCTAAGACCCACCAGAGGCTCAACAGGTGACAAGGGTAAGGCCAAGGCTGCATGACTAAGACTAAATTGTCTGGAAAATTGCTTAGAAAAGGATACCGTTTTATCATGCTGGCATCTGGAGACACTGACTGACCTACAACATAAAGTCTTACTTGAACACCTTCCTTGGTGCTGATTGGCTCTTTCTGGTTGAAAAGAATTTGTTTTTAGGTGCAGATTGGTTGTCCCAGATTGAAAAAGTTTATATTTTGGATGATGATTGGACATCTTAATTTAAAGATACTGTCTGAATGCTGATTGGCTGGCTGCTTTGATATGAAGGTCTGACTTCAGAATGCTATTTGGCTACCTTTATCCTCTTCACCACTGATCAGCTCATTAACTGCGACAAGTTTAAAAGGCTATTATACTGACCTGCTAACTGGTGACCAAACAACATGAAATGTAATTATTCTATTTCTAGGATGATTTTTAAAAATAAATTATCAATTACTGTACTGTACAGGCTTAAATGCTGATTGAGCATCTTAATGTTTATAGCTCTCTAAAATTGATAAATAGCATATATATAGTATATCAAGTAAGACTTTATGAATGAAGATCACTCTTAAAGTAATGTAAGAAATTATATCATGATCCCACCAGTCTGATGTGAGTGGTGTGTAGGACAGTGAGGTGCTACAGGAACAGTACTCAGTGTCTGGCACCTTTTATCTCATATCAGCTGTTTCCCTCCACCAACTCTGCACACCTTCCCTCTCCCCATACAAAACATTAAGATATTCACTCTCATTACATACAATATAGCCACTTACTCAACACCTTAATAATACCACGATCTGTTTATGATTTTCTCCTTAGTACTGATAAATGTTTGCATTCATGTATATATATAAGATATGGCATAAATGTTAGAAGTAGTTTGCATGGGAATAGGTCTACCCCATGCAACCCCCACTAGTCCATTTATGAGGCTAGTTCAGCTCATTATAAACATCTTTACACAAATAGGTTCCAAAACAAGTACCTTGCCAACTAGAAACCCCTGAACTGTCCCCTTTAACACCAGTACCCATCTACAGGAATATGTTTCCCATAAATTCCAAGAATGTTTAATCTAACTACCCTTCTCCTCTAATTCCTCTGAACAAAAGCTATCAAATACTGTACACACTTATAAGTTTATCTGCAGTATATTAACAATCGTTCTTGTATAAACTGTATTTAAATTATATATTTTGTTTGATTAAGTAAAGTGTACTCAACATTCACAGATCTTCACCAACGACACCTTACAAGAAGGCAATTGTATGACTCAAGACTCTCCAGAATGGTGTCCAATCCTCTGAGCATTCAGTAAGGAAGATCCAACTCTCTCAACATCAGGAGCATCATTACCCTACACCAGAGAGAAGCTCGGCCTAACTACACCTGCATGTACCCTCATAATGTAGTTCACCCTGGTTGGGACTATAGTGGAGATCACTAGAAGGATCAGGGGTAAGTGTGAAACATCCGTCAAATGCTGTGGTTGTAAGTGAATGAGGAGTTGAAGGTGGGTTAATAGAGAAGGCTTAATCCATTGCTCTCAGTACACACCTCTGACTAGATGCAGGGTCCACCTACCTACTCGATTTCAGCACTTTATTAACCCTTGGTAAACTTTCTAAAGAGCTATTATTAACTTGTTGAAACTAACTCTTAAATACTTCCTAATGATTAAAGGGTTGCTGGTTATGTATATTGTTCTAAAAAGTTTCAATTAAGGTTGTTGGTGGCTTAAAAGTCTTCTAAAAATTTCCAGCAATCTATCAACCCATTACTTTCTAATAAATTCCTGCCGAGGCATGTAAACTATTATCTATTTATTTTTTTTTAAATTAGAGGGCTGTTGATGTTTGTAATCTAAAGAAAAAACCCAAATTATCTATTGACCCCCTCACCATTTCCTAATGACCTGTTGTCTAGGTAATTAAACTAGTTATCTTAAAGTATTCTAAGAATTAGGGCGCCGCTGGTAAAGTCTACTTAAAATTCAACTCTGTCGACTCACGCTCCCGTATTTTACCAAACTCTTGAAAATTTTATTAAATAGCTCTCACATATTTTTATGATAAGACAGTTGCTTTAAATTGATAATCTATAACTTACTAGACAAACAACAAATAACTTGTATTACATCCATGGGTGAGACTGGCTGATGAATTTGAAGACTTACACCTCCCACTGACCAACCATTACAACAGGAAGATCAGGGTGACTTTACTGATTTTGAGGAATATGCATTTCAGTGGGCCATAAGATACCCAGAACAGTGCGATGAGGAGCGAACCTTGGCGATTAAGAATTACAGGTAAACCTCGAGATACGATATCCCAAGAAGCAATATTACGCTTTAACGATGGTCATAAATTAAGACCATCTCGCTAAATACGATCAAAATATCTTGCTTTAACAATATCCATCGAATAGTCATCGATATCCATTGGTTAGAATTTATTTTTGTTATCTCTAGTGCAAACTATGGTTTGTACGCACTCAAATTAATCGCCGTCTTGCAAGGATTCCAGCAATGCAAATTAAATTTTTCTACGTCAAGTCTGTGACATCTCTACCTTCACGCACTGCCACACAGCCAACCCGCAGCCCTGTGTTTGGCTCTTTGTCGATCGCAAACCCACCAGCCCAAGGCTCCACGATTATTGGCCAACATCATACATTATACTTATCATCAGTTTTTTTTTCTTATATAGTGAGAGGACAGCACTAACATTTAGACTGAACTGTGTTATAGTGACTGAAGTGATATTTTCTGTGTTTTTGTGACTGTAAAGTGCATCAACTCAGTTGTTTTGAAAATGTGAGCAGTGTCGGCCACTATCATAGTTTTTTGTTATCATTGTTCACTCTGTTTTTGTGTCAAGTGATTATGCTCTATTTTTGTGACTGTGAAGTGAGCAGTGTAACTTTGAAATGTCTGGGAAGGCCAAGGCATCCAAGAAAACCTTGTCTCTGAGGTGAAGCTTGATATTGTTAAGCAGCATGAGACACCCCAGACGCTGTGTGGGAGTCAGAGTAACGTCTCAACTCCACCTACAAGAGTCCTCTGAGTCTCGAAGGGGACATGTGATGATGACCAGACATGTACAATATGATGTGGTGTGTGTTCTTTACTTGTTTTGTTCTGATATAGTAGTGTTGGAATTTTTTGTCAGTGATACATGTGTGTTTGGCTTTGGGAACGATTTTCCAAGAAAATTTTAATTCCGGATATCGGAGAGTTCCAGGTTTGAGGGATTCCGGCTAACGGAGATATTACTTATACATCTTGAATCGTTAAATTGTGTAATAACATCAAATTAAGCCAGAATCAGAGCCTTAGTCATTATATTTTATCTGGTGTTTACACAGTAAGCAACAGGGTACCAATTCTGAGTCAATGGCGATGTGAATTCTATCAAATACAGTACAGTAGTACTGTAGTTCCAATTATCCACCCGTGTGTTGAGAGGCACTTGGCTAGGCTAGAGTGGTGAAATTGATGGTCCTGCTTGGGCTAGTCTAGTCGCTTGTTATATACGTTTACAAAGAACAATATGCCAATTAATCCATAGTTAATTATATACTTTTAAAAAATATATCATTGCTTATACATGACACATTGTTATTGCTTAAGTTGAGGGCGTAACATCTAAATATTGATATGAACACAACTCCACGATTTAAGACAGCAAGAATATAATTTTTTGTTTCTCTAACTTTTGTTAAAAAATGACTGGGTTTCTTAGCAATTGTATGGGTGGGATGCTATTGATATCCAAAGCCCAGCACATACAGTATATACTGTAGTGGGGTTGTATGTGATGCTACACATCAGCTGACAGTCTATTTACAAAACGTTGTAAATAAACCCACATGTCTTGTATGGCATTACAACAGTACATCCCTGATATATACTGTATATATATATATATATATATATATATATATATATATATATATATATATATATATATATATATATATATATATATATATATATATATATATGCTATAATATGTGTATTCACAATGATACAGACTAGTATATATATATATGAGATTCCACCAGGTATTATAATATACTAATCTTTAAATATAGTCAGGTCTGACCTGGAGTACATGATGTTGAATGCTTCGGTATGTTTAATGAGGATTCTATGATGTTCCTACTGTCAATTGAATTACAAGGTAATTTGAGGCATTATCAGTTGAATTGCTTGTTACCCTCAAATGAACAAATACCTAGATCACGCACACCTACAGTGATTTACTTGCATATATATATATATATATATATATATATATATATATATATATATATATATATATATATATATATATATATATATATATATATATATATATATATATATATATATATATATATATATATATTACTTTTGTTATAGGTTACAAGTACACATTGTCACAGACATCCAGCCTAGTCAAAAACACCTATTTTTCACCACTTATCCCATAACAGCTGCCAAAATTCATGTCTTAAATTATTATTACAAATAAATAATTATTACCACAAACTGATGATTTTTTTTACATTTAACTGACATTACATGCCTACTTTTGCCTACCTATATTACAGCTAATTTCAACTTCAACAAACAGCCTAACAAGAGTCTGCAGGTCCCAGCCAGCAGGATTGTTGTATCAAGAGGAGTGGGGTTGAAACTCTCTTTCATGGGGCCTATTAGCTCAAGCAAGGGGAGGGTAGACATGAAGAAAATTAAACTCTGATAACTTTGAGTAAAAAGGTGCAGCCTTTAACAACAGGCTCTCTGTGCATTTGTAGATGTTATCTTTTAAGTGTGCTTGCCGAAATATTGCTACTATATTGTTCTACCGAGGCTCTAAAACACCAAATTCAAATGTGCTGTTAAGAAGCCTGTAAAATGATGGAAAATAATATTGCAACAGAAGGCCTTAATTGTGACGAACAAGGAAGACCAAGTCATATGTTAATATCCATAGAAAATGTGCACAGAAGAGGTTAACTGGGGTGACTTTAACAAATCTCAACGTGCTATTAAGTTCAGGAGAGTGTATGATGCGGCCAGGGGGAACGACTACTGGCATTTATACCTGCTGCCTCCAACACTTCCCTCACTATCCTGTGTAGCCAACCCATTCCTGAGTCAGTTTTGTGTGCATGTGTGTGTGTGCATGTGTGTGTGTGTGTGTGTATACATGCGCACATGTGTGTTTGCTACACCCGCTCCACCGACCTATCTCTAGCCCGCCACCTGAACCTGGAGTCACCGGCATCTCTGCCCCAGACACCGTCACCTTCACCAGGGGTGAGAGCTGTGGTGTCATCCTGGGTGGCTGAGTGATGCACCACCCGGGAGCCACCCACGAGGGAGGCCACTAGGAGGGTACGGGCGGGTGGCGAGGGCCAGGCAGCGGCCAGGTTAGGGGTGGAGGCGGAAGCGGGGAGGAGAGGTGAGGGTGGGTCGTCAAGGCATGGTGGAGAGGACGGTGGAGCAGTGCTCAGTGGCAGAGACCGTGGCCGAGAGGGCCCCGAAACTTCCAGTGACAGTGAGGCTCCCAGGGGGCGACGCCCATGAGGCCGTGAGGAACCGTAGCGGGAATGGGGGGCATGGCGTGTGGGTATGTGGTAGTGCGGGGAGAGTGGGGAAGGGCCAGGGGTGAGGGGAGGTGGTGGGGAGGCAGCACCAGGCAGCTGACTAATCTTGTGTAGCACGTCCCTCAGCTCCCGGGTAGCCGGCGAGGGCGGCAGTGTGGGGGAGGTGGGCGCTGGGGGTGAGGGCGGCGACGTGGGCGGCAGACTGGACACGTCAGAGGCGTGAGGGCCCACCGAGGATGCGGGCGAGGCCAGGGCTAACACACACCCTGGTGACGACACCCGGCAACTCCGGTACTCGCTCTGTGGAGGGGGACCCCTGAGTAGTCATGTAGTGCCCTAAGTTACCTCTTGCACACTACTGTATATGGTACTGGTAGAAACTACCTTGTGTACTGGTACATACTACCTCCTGTAGTGGCACATACTACCTCCTGTACTGATACATACTACCTCCAGTACCGGCACTTACTACCTCCTGTACTGGTACACACTACTTCCTGTACTGGCACATACTACCTCCTGTACTGGTACATACTACCTCCTGTACTGGTACATACTACATCCTGTACTGGTACACACTACTTCCTGTACTGGCACATACTACCTCCTGTACTGGTACACACTACTTCCTGTATTGGCACATACTACCTCCTGTACTGGTACATACTACCTCCTGTACTGGTACATACTACCTCCTGTACTGGTACATACTACCTCCTGTACTAGCACATACTATCTCCTGTACTAGCACATACTATCTCCTGTACTAGCACATACTACATCCTGTACTAGCACATACTACCTCCTGTACTAGCACATACTACCTCCTGTACTAGCACATACTACCTCCTGTACTGGCACATACTATCTCCTCTACACTACCAAGAACCCAAGGTATATGCTTTGTGGGAGGGCACCATATGATCTCTCACTATAGTGCGTCTTTTCTCAGCTAATAAAAGATGCCCTGCCCCCTTCTCAAGACTTACAGCTGATTGGTGGTTTCAAATCTGTCCGATTTCGTCCTGAAGTAATGATGTATTTCTAAATGTCTTTATTCATAATCATTGGGATGACCGTTTCTGAAGAGAAAGATGTTTAGCTAAATTACATAAATATACATACATTCATTATTTCAAACCTAAGTATGTAGGAAGTTTATCAGAAGTATTGTACACGAACTAACTGTTAAACTCTGGTAGCAAATTCACGCTTTCGGATGATGCATTTAATTTATACTTATTTTTACCCACAATAAGGCATACTAAGACAAATTACGTATCAGTAATATTACATTATGCAAAACTTACATTTTAAAAGATCAGAATCACGAGTGTTGAAGGGCTGAAAAGCAGTTTCAGAGGCTGGTTGCAAGCGAGGTCAAGTCAAACCCAAAGGTGTTTTACCTCTATGCAAATTCGAAATTGAAAACGCGAGTAGGAGTATCAGACCTGAGGCTGGTGGATGGTAGTTACGCAGATTTTGACCAGGATAAAGCCGAGGCATTGAACAGCTTCTTTTCCTTGGTGTTCACAAGAGAGGATGCAACTAACCTTCCTGCGTTTGAGGACAGACGGTTCGACACAGCACAGACCCACATTGTGTTCACAGAAGAGGGTATTAGAAATAAACTGTCCAGGCTAAAGGTCTATAAGAGTCCCGACCCTGACATGGTACATCCTAGAGTGCTAAGAGAGTTGTGCAACGAGCTTGCAGAGCCCCTGAAGATCCTGTTTTGTAAATGCCTGGATGAACAAATGGTCCCCAGTGAATGGAAAGTGGCTTATGTGAGCCCTATCTTCAAGAAGGGCGATCGTCACTCCACAAACAATTATAGACCGGTGAGCCTGACCAGCATAATATGTAAAGTACTTGAGAGTATTATCAGAGATGCCACAATGGAACATCTAATACGAAACAACCTTGTAAAGGATTGCCAACACGGTTTTATGCCGGGGCGCTCCCGCTTAACACAACTGCTCAAGGTATTGGATAATTGGACCCATATTCTGGAACGGGGTGGTAATATCGACAATATTTACCTAGATTTTGCCAAGGCTTTTGACAGTGTACACCCATGAGAGGCTGAAAATCAAACTAGATGGGTACGGAATTCGGGGAAATGTCCTAGCGTGGATAGAAGACTTTCTATATGACCGCAAGCGGTGTGTGGTGATTAATGGCACGAAATCGTCATCCGTACCTGTCACAAGTGGGGTACCACAGGGCAGTGTATTGGGCCTGCTGTTGTTTGTTTGTTTCATAAATGACATGAAGACGTTGTACACTCCTCCATACAAATGTTTGCTGATGAGGCCAAGTTATTTTGGGAAATTAAGAACCAAGCGGACTGTGAAGAGCTGCAGAAGGACCTCTGTGGGCTCCAGGAATGGTCGAAGAAATGGCTGCTGAGATTCAATGTCACGAAGTGTAAGAGGATGCACCTGAGGCGCACTAACGGTAAGGAGGCGTATCATATGTCCTAACGGGATGAAAAAACTGCACTAGTTGAGACTGAATGTGAGAAGGACCTAGGTGTGTATGTTGACAATGAGCTGAAGTTCTCGGGCCATTGCGAGAAGAAGGTAAACCAAGCAAATAAATTATTGGGTCTTATAAGAAGGGCGTTCAGATATCTAGACGGTCAGTCCCTCGTAACGATCTTCAAGAGTGAAGTGCTTCCCCATTTGCAGTACTGTCACCCCGTCTGGTCCTCGAGATATGCTAGGGACTGTCAGTTGGTTGAAAATGTTCAAAGGAGGGCCACCAGACTGGTGCTTGCACTTCGGCACCTCAGCTACCCTGAGAGATTGGAGCGCCTGAACTTGCCTAGCTTATACTACAGACGGGCAAGGGGGGACCTAGTTGAGATTTATAAGCATCTCAGGGGGCACTACTCAGTCGAGTGTCCTTACTTGGAGCTGGCGGATGCTCGCCCCACAAGGGGTCACAGCTCAAGATTGAAGAAGCCGCAAGTCCAGAAAACTGTGAGGGCAAACTTTTTCGGAGTGAGGGTTGTAAACTCTTGGAACAATCTACCAGAGAATGTTGTGATGGCACCGAGAGTGAACTCTTTCAAGACAAGACTTGACCAAAACTGGAGTGGGTTCAGGTACATTCAGGAGCCGGTGCATGCCCAGTATTTGCCAACAGTGCATGACAGAGGCGTGACCGATTACCCAGGCGGCTAGTGAGATGATCTTTTGGTGAAGAAGATAAATGAAAAGAAAAAGTAATCAGAGACGTGACCAATCGCCCAAGCGGCTAATGAGCCGATCAGTGGCGAAGAGGATAAAAATAAAAAAGTAGAAATATTTACACGGGCGTCAGCAGAAGCGGGAAATATGAAGTTGTTCGCAGTCATATTTCCCGCCTCTGCTGACGGCCATGTAAATATTTCTATGTGATGCTGATCGTTTAAAATGTAAGTTTCTGCATAATGTAGTATTACTGATACGTAATTTGCCTTAGTATGCCTTATTGTGGGTAAAAATAAGTATAAATTAAATGCATGCTCCGAAAGCGTAAATTTGCTACCAGAGTTTAACAGTTAATTCGTGTATAATACTTCTGATAAACTTCCTACGTACTTATGTTTGAAATAATGAATGTATGTATCTTTATGTAATTTAGGTAAATATCCTTCTTGTCAGAAACAGTCATCCCAACGTTTATGAATAAACTCATTTATAAATACATCATTACTTCAGGACAAAATCAGACAGATTTGAAACTGCCAATCAGCTGTAAGTCTTGAGAAGGGGGCAGGGCATCTTTTCTTAGCTGAGAAAAATGCATTATATTCATGAACAGGGACACTGATCTACAAGACCTGGTGCTAACTAGTCATAGGAACCTCTTTGTCACAAGAGGGTGTGGTGCTCAGCTCATATGGGAGATGTTAACTACAGTATACTGTACATCAACTGTTGTACAGGCAGAATGTACCTGTGAAGATTTGCTTAAGAAACACCAAAATAGATTCACCTGAATTACACCTATTGTAAGTACACACACACCTGAAGTACACCTTATCACACTCAAGTGAAGTACAGTACAGTCACCTGAAGTACAGCACACTCACCTGAAGTACAGTACACTCAGCTGAAGTACAGTACACTCACCTGAAGTATAGTACACTCACCTGAAGTACAGTACACTCACCTGAAGTACAGTACACTCAGCTGAAGTACAGTACACTCACCTGAAGTATAGTACACTCACCTGAAGGGCTGTACCACATGTGTAGCTGGAACTCTGTGACCCTTCTGGTGTTGACACGGAACCTGAAACACAAGGAGGGTGTTAGCACCATGGGGAGGGTGTTAGCACCATGGGGAGGGTGCTAGTACCATGGGGAGGGTGCTAGTACCATGGGGAGGGTGTTAGTACCACGGGGAGGGCGTTAGTACCATGGGGAGGGTGCTAGTACCATGGGGAGGGTATTAGTACCATGGGGAGGGTGTTAGTACCATGGGGAGGGTGCTAGTACCATGAGGAGGATGTCAGCACCATGGGAAGGGTGTTAACATCATGGGGAGGGTGTCAGTACCATAGGGAGTGTGTCATAGCACCATGAGGAGGGTGTTAGTACCATAGGGAGGATGTCAGCACCATGGGAGGGGTGTCAGTACCATGGGGAGGGTTGTAGCACCACAGGGAGAGTGTTAGTAATGTGGGAGAGTTATAAGGAAAGAGAAGAATAAGAAAAAATATATAAAAATCTCTTTACATGCTATGTCACTAATATTGTAGAGTTGAAATGAGTCTGTGGAGTTTTACAAAAAAAAATATGACATGATTTATACATTCCCTTCTTCACCTTCAATTAGTAAAAATTCTTCATAAAGTACTGTACATTCCATATCAATAATTCTTTAATTACTATGTGCATTATACAACTTAAGTATGGAGAGTAGGGGCTTCTTGACTCAGTTGGTGACATTCTGTACCACCAACCTGTGCGGCAGAATTTTAATCCCATACCAAGGGAGGGTTGGCGGGCACTTTTATGAATGGAGAGAAATGGAACAGAACCTTTGAGGCAACATATCAATAAGGATACTTCTGTACTAAGGAATAGATGGAATTGTGATTGAAATCATTTGGAAAGATTCTAGTTCATAAATGATAAAGTAAGGAACATAAGTCTTTCATTAAATTCATGGAGTACAAATGTAAGGAAAAAGATTTGAGAGAAAATTATAAAATGAAGGGGAAAGAATGAAACTACAAGGGGGGGGGTATAATAACAGAGGAGATAACAAAACAATAACAGAGAAGGAGATAATAGAATAATGTAATGGCAAGTTTGGAAGTCTGGATTTAAGAAGAAAGATATTGTCCTGTAGTTTGAATGAGAATAACAGTTAGAGAGAGAGGAAGTACCAGTGCACCTGTCTATTGCTACACCAGTCCCAGAATGAGTGACCTTAAGTGTGGTAGATGGTGTTCATGCATGAGGTAACATGTCAGGATAAATGGGATTTGGATGTAAGGAGGTCAGGTTGAGTGGGTTAAATATAAGGAAGAAGTCAAAGAGAGGGTCAAGGGTCAGGATGGAAGGATTGGATGTACAGTGGTAAAGGTTATGCACAGAAAAGGAGGTTGTAGGTGTATGGTCATGCAGAGTCATATATCGGGTGAGGAAGTGATGGGTGACACAACTGTGTTAGTGGCAGAGGTGGCAGGGTAGTGCCAGACAGTGCCACCACCTTATTGCATTCGCTCAGTTGTTTTCTGTCTCAAGTTTATGGTCTTCAATACCTTAACCCATAAAAAAATACAAAGCTCCAAATCTTACAAGCATAATGCCAGAAAGCAAATGCTTATTACAGACTTCGTACACAGTTGGTGGTGAAGTTGAAAAAAATAAATAAATATGACGAAAGAAACAAAACAAGGAGTAATGCATAAATTAGTGTCGGGCCACAGTCCAGAAATACAAGATATCCCTCAACTGAATAAAAACAAATTCTTGGATAAAACATAGTCAGACATAAAACTCAATCTATAGGACAGTAGATGTACAGTATAAGAAAATCTATTCATATCTCTGGATCCAAAATTTTGTCTCGAGGCATGATGTAAATGCAGTGTGAATATGCCTTTCATGAAAGATCTTCAAGTTTCCCCCCAAGCTAAATCCTCTCTCACCTACACACTCCCTTATTGCACCAATACACTCCATCTTTCTTTCTCTCTATATACAGGGTATATACACCTCAAGCAAAGTTTTTCGTTTCATCATCAAGCCTAACCACACACTCCCTCATTCTATCCTTCCATCTTCTGCTCAGTTCTCCAGTTTCATCATCAGTCTCCCCCCAGTATAACATGCTCTAATAGACACATTTTCTGTTTTCATAATTTCTATACTGTTCCAAAAATCTTACATCGCATTTGTAACTCTCTACTCTCTTCCATACAAAATTTGTTTTCAAAATAATGCAAGAATTTTTAACTACACTACGTAGTTAGCCTCTATGAATACTTTCCCTGACTGACTAATAACAGTGACTACAAGTGTTAAGGAAAGAACTTGGTGAAATTTATTATATCTGAAAGCAGTCACTCTAGAACATGTAATAAACTTGCCTGAACACAGTGGTTATCAACTCACTGTACAGTACAGCACTACTCTATAATAAAACCTTTAATTTTGAGAAGTTGTAGTCCTCTTAACTATAATACTGTACTACTGTTGGAAATGGATGAAGGTTTACTCCACACATATTATTCTTCATACTATTCTATGGGGTTTATACCAACTCTGATGGTTCAAAGTTTATAACCATATAATGTATGGTATATACAGTATTAAGACTGTCTACTTGATGGCAACGCATCCAAAATTTATTTCTGGAAACAAAAAATGCTAACATGCAGTTTCCAGTTACAGTCATGCAATCTTTTCTGACACTTAGGAATAACAGGCATCTTTGCTATTGTGCAACTACTGTACAGTATTGGCAACCCGTCTTATGTAGAATATGTATAAAACTGGACTCAATGTGATAAGTACACTAATGGTCACATAACAATGTTAAACTATGTATGGAACTGTACACGGATAAGTCAATGAGAATTAGTTTTTAATAATTCATCAGATTATAAGTTAGGTTAGGTCAGTTTATGTCTAGATACATTGGGTTTTGTGTGTCAGTTTGGATTTGGTTGTTTGGTTAGAGTAGGTATGGTTTGGCTTAGGTAGGTACAGTACTGTATATACATAATCACACTTAATTTCTTGATGTCTCTAGCTATGCCCATAACTGTACTTATTACAGATTGACCATTTTCACATACAGTATATGCACACTATATATAAATATATATTTATCGATCCAGCTACAGTTTATGATTATATATGCACATATCAACAGGCATTAGTATGTTCAATATCACACTTATTGAGTGGGTAAGTTGGCAATAAGGATATACTGGCATCTATCGCTTGTCTCTGGCTAATGTGCTTCATCTACATACAGTATATCTGTCAACAACTCTCACTCAAAATCACTACAGCAGTGTCAGAAGCAGAGTTCAAGTTCAGTTTTATCCATGAATTTGTGTTTAGTGTGTGAAGACAGCCTTAGCCCTCATTCTCAAAGATTTCCCGATCATATTTTCCCCTAACTGGAGATACAAGAACACAGATAACTGGCTCTTTAGGATAAAATTGCATTGGATTTGCACTGAAAATTTAATGCATTTGGATATGTTCTCACATCTCCACTTACAGGAAGAAATTAAAGGTACAAATCCTTGAGAATCCGGAGGCCAGTGGGAGTGGTGAGAGGGCGCGGTGTGTGAGTGCGGGCATAAAAATTATTTGACCCCGCTACCTCTGCTACTTCTGGCTGGGCGCCGCCACTGTACCGACTCCGAATCTACTCGAATCCACAACACAGAGTCTGAAAACGCCACGAAGACACACAGAAGAAATGAAACTACTGAAGAAAGGAACAAAATATTTCTATCCACTCGTTATATACTGTACAGTACTGTATAACAAAGATCATGACCATAACAATTAATATAAATATTTTACTCATATTATGTCTTTAATCATTAACATTTAAAGATAATTACCGTATGTATAATTCCTGTCTAAACATTCTCAACTTAAGGCTCAAAATCATCTATCCCTAATCACTCAACAATGACGTTTTGACAATACACTGTACGGTCAACCCTCGCTTTACGCAGTGCCCTGCCAGAACCTAACGTGCTCACATTACGCGGTGCGTGAACCCCATTACGCGGAGAGTGTCCGGCGCGACGCTATTTTTAGATTCGCCCCACCCGCCTGCCTGCCTGTGCTCTCGCCTCTCCCTCCTCCTCCCTCCCTCCCACCTCCCTCCGCCTGGGCAAGCCGCGCGGTAAGGTTGCGCAGTGTGTGTCTTTGTTGCGTTATCACTGACGTCATATGACGTATCGGACTGTGATTGGCCATACATCCCTACCCCCCTCTGCTGCTAGCTGTAATTGGCTTAAAGTATTATGACGTGTCCACCCTGGGGAGGGAGGGAGGAAAGACGATGCGTGACCTAGCTACGCCAGTTTCATCCCTCCACGCCAGACCGTGTAAATGTGTATCCATTGTTCTGTAAAATGGCTTCCGCCGGACCACCGCCCCCAGAGAGAAACCTTTCCTTACCTGGACCCAGCGGCACTAAGCCAAAGAAGACACGACGTTTCTTAAGCTACGAGGTGAAGTACAAGATCATCCAAGAGTTGGAGAAAGGAATAAGGCAGGTTGATTTGGCGTGCCAGCATGGTGTGAATGAATCTACGATTCGAACAATAAAGAAGGATGCAGCCAAGATAAAGGAGCACATGAAGATCACAAAGTCTACAGGTGCTTCTATGATCAAGTATTTTCACAACCAGGTGCTTCTCAAGACAGAAAAATTACTTGTGAGGTACTTGGTGCGTCAGGCGCGACGGATCATGGCGGTCGACACGCGCTCTGTTAAGGAGTACGCACGTGAACTGTACATTGCAGTGGCACGAAAGATGGGAATTACAGAGCCCAAACCCTTTAATGCTTCCTCTGGGTGGTTACAGAGGTTTAAGATCCGGAACAAGATCACCAATATAAACATTGGTGGTGAAGAAGCGAGTGCTGACCGTGCTGCGGCGAGGGAATTTCCTCCGTTTTTACGTGAGATTATGGAGGAAGGACAGTACAGTGACGACCAGGTGTTTAACATGGACGAATCTGGTCTTTTCTGGAAAAAGCTACCTTCCAAGTCCTTCGTTGTAAAGAATGCCAGCAAGATTCGGGGCCGGAAGATGCAGAAGGAATGCATCACCGTCCTGTTTACCACCAATGCCTCCGGTACCAGGAAGCTCAAGTTATCGGTGATCCACACAGCACGCAAGCCGCACGCCTACAAAACCATGGACATGACCAAGCTAAATGTCCACTGGCTGACCGCACGTAAGGCGTGGATGTTCTCTACACTGTCCCTCTCCTGGTTTGATGACTGTTTTGTTCCCGATGTAAAGAAATTCTGTGAGCGAAAGAATGTGCCATTCAAGATTTTGTTGCTGCTGGACAACGCACCAGGACACTCGCCCCTACTGTTAGATCGTCACCCCAACGTAAAAGTGGTCTTCCTTCCTCCCAACACTACGTCTATATTACAGCCCATGGACCAAGAGTTAATCTGTAATGTAAAAGCTGCATTCTCTACGAAAAAATTCAAACTCCTGAACGACTACACCAACACCAGGGAAGAGTTGCGTAACCTGAGTGACACCACCACCGATAGCAAGAGCGAAGAAGATGAGGATCAACAGTTGGCACAGCAAAAAATACTGTTCAAACAATTCTGGAGAGTATTTAACATCAAGAAAGCTGTGGACTTCTTGGTGGAGTCATGGGATCAGCTGTCTATTGCTACAATTCGTCACGCATGGAGACATGTGTTGCATGGAATACCAGGTGAGAGGAGGAGTCAATCTGTGACTGGTGAGGTTCAGACTGTTGCAGTAGCAGTAGACCTTGCCAGAGAAGCTGCGCAGACTGTTACAGTTCCAGGCTTCTCCGAGACCACCAACGACGACATCATGGAGGTGATAATGGAACCTGATGTGACTACCGAGGAGATGGTACATGATGATGACGACGTCAGTGAAGAGGCAGGTGGTGCGTCATCCCAAGAAGAAGAACACTTATCCCATAGTAATGTTAGGGGTGCCATCGAGTGTATCGAGAAAGCCAAGCTCCTCCTTTCCGACGACCCTGACGCAAACAGGTATGAAATCTTCACTACCCAGCTGTTGCAGACTATGGAGCCCTACATCAAGGTGTATCACGACAACATCAACACCAGCCGTCAGCAAAGCATAACAGATTTCTTCGCCCGCAACCCACCACAGCCAGCCCAAGCCAGTGATAGTGACAGTGAAGATGACTTTGAGGGATTTGTCAGGGAAGCCCTGACAACTGTAAGTGACAGTGATGGTGATGCACCTAGTAATGGTGATTCACCTGAGGGCCAGTAGCCTGCCCTCTGCCTCGGAACCAGCCTCCATCCCCGTACGCCGACCCATCTCTTCTACTAACGTAAGTGTTCCACCTAACTTTTAGTTTTCCTAACCTAACCTTTATTTTTCCTATGTTAACCTTTATTTTTCCTAACCTAACCTCTTCAATATTACTTGTTTTTTCATACCATCATAAAGTTAAGATAAAATTTTTACTACAACATAGTTGTGTGTCGTCAAAAAGTGGAGTTTGGGGGTCGGCCCGGAGTCTATTTCAATTAATCCCATATGTTATGTTATTCACTTTACGTGTTCCTCACTTTCCGCGGGACCCTGCGGGTTACATTAACCGTGTAAAGTGAGGGTTGACTGTACTGTACATATAACTACAGTAAATATTTTATTAACTCAATCAGCAGTGAAAGTACATCACCATACATGTCCTATCTATTTACTGTATTTAATAATGAAAGGTTAATACTCTTATACACTTGTTAAAAAATGAAGTTACAGTATCCACAATACTCTTACTTATTTTCTTAACATATTTATCTACTCAAGAGAGATGGAAAGTAATCACTATAACATTACAATACAGCTCCTCCCCGACTTACGACCTACTCGACTTACGACCACCCGGACATACGACCGTCTCAGTCGTACCAAAATTTTGTCAAATTACATATTTTCGAGTCCCAATGTCAGTGAGTGCACTGTGTACTGACAAATTTTTTGTTTGTAATTCACTTTAAAATGGCTGGCAAGCTTAAAAGTGAGAGTTTTGTGGTGCTGAGAAGAAAAAGAGACACCCATTTTAGATTTTCTATGTATTATTTAAGCATTTTCGACTTACGACCTGGATTTGGGTCCCTAACCCCGTCGTAAGTCAGGGAGGAGCTGTATTATCTAAATGTTGAAATGTGAAGAATATTCACCATTATCGAGGCCCACACTGGAAAATAAGTGACTACCGTAATATGTTATGTGTTATCCTAAGTAAATATTTATAACAGTATATGGATGGATGTACTGTATGAATGTTTTACTCAATAAATTAACATAAAATAAAATAAACATAAATTTCTGAATCTTCCTGATTTATTCACAAATTGTAACAATTACCTACCGTATGTGTATTCAATGAAAAGTACGGATTATGGGTAAATTTTAATCTGCCTGATTTATATTTAAAAACTGATATTAACCCCTTCACCGTGTGTCACGCACTTGCCATTTTATTATGGCTTCCGCCAGACGATTTTATTCAGCTTAGGGTAACCTCCCGATGTGAAAGGGTTAAGTGAATAAGTAACACAATAAACATGAAACCCAATTTGGTTTACTTATTTCTGCAGGATTTCCATTTTTAAATATTTATCTTTTTAGAACTGATGTAACAACAGTAAAATATTGTAAAGTACTGAGTAGATATTAAAGTTTTGTCAGCTGTAAAGTCAGACTGACATTAAATTATTTATCTACTGTTTACTAAATATTTTAAACTTTAAAATTGTATGAAGGAAGATTTTATTTCCTAGATCAGATTACAATTATTCCTAAAAAAACAAAATATGATTACTCCCATCCCCCTAAGTATTACTCCCAAAAAGGGTTTCTATAAATAGTAATTGTGTATAGTACATTACAGTATTTTGTTAATTGTACAGGAGATTTTGCTAATACGTAAATAACTTCTTACAGCTGAAAAGAAAATCAGTGATTTGCCAGAAAATTAACATTCCACCTTCCTTATACAACATTATGCACGCCCAAATATACATTTTAACTACCAGTACACTAATAATACATCAAAATTTTTCCTGTCTGACCTCAAATACTATCAGAACTGACCAAAGATGCTACATGGCCAGGTAAAAGTCAAGCAAGAGGAACACTTAACAAGAAAAGTATTTGATAGTGGCAGGGTGAGTGTATATGATGATGGCAGGGTGAGTGTATATGATGATGGCAGGGTGAGTGTATATGATGATGGCAGGGTGAGTATATGATGATGGCAGGGTGAGTGTATATGATGATGGCAGGGTGAGTGTACATGATGATGGCAGGGTGAGTGTATATGATGATGGCAGGGTGAGTGTATATGATGATGGCAGGGTGAGTGTACATGATGATGGCAGGGTGAGTGTATATGATGATGGCAGGTTGAGTGTATAGGATGTGGCAGGGTGAGGTTACTGACGTGATGTGAGTATGATGGGTAGTAATGGGCAGTAAGGGGTGAAGGGGTGGAAACTGACCTGATCTGTAGATATAATGGTGACAGGGGGGGTGCCAGGCGTGGTGGTGATGGGTGAGTCCAGCGGCCTCTGTCATGGACTTAGTAGAGTTGACCTCAGCAATACCCTGTCTCATCACCACCACTGGGTAAAGCTCGGGCTTGGCCGCCACCTGGGGACAACAGCATGATAAACAGCTCATCTTGACACACACACACACACACACACACACACACACACACACACACACACACACACAGCCTGTTATATAAATGTATAAGAACTGTATGTGCATAAATAAAAATAAGTATTCTGTAAATAAATAAAGAAGAATATATTATTTCATTAAAATAACACAAACATAGACCTAAGACTATACAGTTTAGTCTTTGAACATATACAAACATTAAAGTCCAAGATGATACAGTACCTCATACTGATCATAGTCCATTTGAGCTATTTGATGTGAGTACGTACTTAGTCTGAGGTAAAGCTTCTAACCATTAATACAGTACAGTATATGTACCAGGGCGCTGTAAGCCCCCCGGGAAAATTTTGAAATTTGAACACTTCTTTGAAGAATTTTGAAGCCATATGCAGTTATATTGAGGAAATTAGAACATTGAGAAATTTTTAATTAACTGCATATTTATTGATAGTGTACAAATTCCCATGAATTTTAAAGAATGAAAATAAAAATAATCCAAATGAATAAACAAATAAATAAAATATTGTAATATGTGGAGGCCCCCAGATTGTGGAGGCCCCTGGGCAGCTGCCCACTTTGCCTACTCCTGAATCCGGCCCTGCTTGCAGGGTATTTCCCCTGTATGTAATCATTGGTTATGCAAACCTGTATTACGGTATCATTACTGCATTATTATTTAATACCCTTATTACTATTATTATTAATAACATATTATTATTGTTATTGTTATTATCAATGCAGTCCATGTACAGTTATATGATTATCATTAACGCGCCTTCATCACCTGGTTTATCCGGACATTTGCCACATCCAGACGCCCGCTCCCTCCTAATTTTCGGGAAGTGCGAGGGCTAACTTATGTAAATATTTAATACGTCAATTCTTCCAGTTGATATGTCTTTATGGTCAAAGATACAACTCAAAACTGGCAACATCCAGCATGAGTTGGCACCTCACCCAAATGTGGTACAGCACAGTACAGTTTTATTGCTGTGGAAAATCTTTAGGTGCTGGAGTAAACCAAGGGGAACTTGTTAAACATATACAGTAATGCCTATCACAACAGTCACACACACACAAAATATAATAATAATAACCAATTTATTAAGGATTATTACAGTAATAATTAGGATAAAGCTCTGTACTGTATAATGATAATGTAAATAAAACTTTAAACTTTGTACCATTAGACAAACAGCCAACCCAACAATAACCAACAAACAAGTTAATAATTTATGACAGACAGAGCCTTGTTCTATTCATTCACACAGTCACCTAACCCATACTGAGGCACTTATGTGAACTGTATATCTGTCAGTCTCTCCACCAAGGCCTCAGCCAGGCAGGAGGGCAGGCAGAGAATGTTAAGTGAGGTGTAATTGTCTGTCACCGGGTCTTCTGCTTTTCCATGATCTCTTTCCTCCCTTCTTTTCAACTCTCCATTTCCTCGCCTACCTCTCACTTCTCCAACTTTTTCCTTCCTCACCTCCTCTTCTCTCTGGTTACTCCTCAACCATCACTTTCCTCACCTTCCTCTCTTTCTCTGCTTACTACTCAATGTCATCCGAAGTCCTTCTCCTTTTTTCCTTTTATTTTCTTCTCAAATTCTTCCTTTCTCCCTCCTTTCTAACTTCTAATTCCATTCCTTTCTTTACCATCACTTCCTAACCACCATTCCCTTTCCAATACAACCCTCTGCCCTTCCTTCCTTCACTATTTCGTTCCACTCTCAATCCTCTTTTCTCAATTCCCATACGTCATCAAATGCCTTTCCTCCTTCTTCTCCTCTGTTTTTCATCCTCCCTCCCACTTCCCAACTCAACTCAATGGCAGATCCTGCCTGCCTCATTAGCAAAGCAAAGTTCCCTTCTGGGGGGCGGAGTAGGAACCACTACTCAGATTACTTTAATTTGTTTTGGTTTTGTGTGGTATGTTGGCCTGGCGAGTTATTGCTAGGCATTAACATACCTAGGTATAAGTTAGGCGTCGCATTCCTGACTATATCACAAAAACTGTTTTTTAGAAAAAACGTCTTTTTTTCATTGTTGTGTTACACTTGATAAACGTTTAAAAAGTTCAAAATTTTGTGTTGTTTCTTCCAGTGAAAAAAATAAAATAAAAGGGGAAAGTGGGTCTCATAAGAAGCTAAGCGGATACAGTTCTAAGAATATTGAACTACAATACACAAAAAGGCAATGTGGCCAGCACTGCACTCTACTGCCTTCACTTCCCCAGCTACTGTAGTGTTGGGTATCCAGTCACAGCTGGGTCTACCATGGGTGACTCAAGCGCAAACCAGTGACCCCTGGGATAGGATGTGTAAGAGTCTTTTCTTGGTGGTTGGAGCCCCTTCTATAAGTTTTATATAATATTTTATAGAACATTAATCATATGTCATCATTGTTCAGCCATAGAGAAATCCATATTATTTCTTAGCTGTGTTTAGCTCCATAAATTCACCACATAACTGAATGACCCACTAAGAGAATTTTTCTTCCACTATCTCTCACACAGCACTTCTGGATGCATGGCATGAACACTGTCTATACTAAATGCAGCTTTTGTAAATTTCTAGTAACTAGCTATATGTTGATACTTTTGTAAGACAGTGTTGGACCATGGTGGTGTATCTGGTTTACTTTCACAAAACTTGAGAAATATCTACAGATTGATTACATCTACAGTGTCTTAATATGCTCCACCATTTAAAAATTTATATACTGTACACTGTTCTACTCTTCTAGGAGTCCATTTTTTTCTCAGATATAATTAAAACTTAGTACTGTACAGTATTTTGTTAAATTTGTGCAATTTTAAATTTTTCTCAAGGATTTACTAAAGACTGATTTTTTTACAGATAAAGCTTGAATTTTTTTTACTATTGTTGCTCTTTCATGATAACTTGATCAAATTTTCAAAAATTTCTTTGCTTGTATAGGTAAATTTGAATTACTATTACAGTCTTGACTGATTTAGGTTAAATATTTATTGTTGTTTATAGAGAAAAATTAATTCAGGTACAGTGTAGACATTCAGGAAGCTGCAGTGTATGTGCATAACTGGAAATCATGGCATCATGTGGTTTATAGGGGTTCATGAGCTGCTGATCTATGATGCATAGTTGTTGTATGAGATAACAAGGGTAAACTTGTTGTGCTATGGGAATACCACAGCAGGACACATCTGGTAAGGCAGTTAGTGTCAACGACAGACAATGAGTGAAGAAAGAAGAGTCTGCGTTTTTCTTGCTTCTCTTTACCAGGGCTGCAGTGGGCAGAATGTAGCTGAGTGGAAACTCAAGTACAAGTAGCCAATCAGGATATAGAATCAACCCAAAAAAATTCTGCACCTTTATGGTGTTATACAATATGACACACCGGACCAAGAATTCTGAACAACACTCATTTGAGTGGGTGATTCCTGTTAATTTCTCTATTAACGATATGTGATATAAAAAATACATCATACTGGGGTGCAGAAAATTATTTTGCTGACTGTGCCTCAGAGCAGGGGAAGCAGAGCAAGAGGAAAGAGACTTAAGTACAAACAGTCAGTAGGGAAATAAATTAGAGTAGAGGGGGACAAGGCAAGTGGGCAGAGCAAGTGAAGTGGTAGGCAGGTGGGTGGAGATTCTTGTATAAAACAGTCAATGGGAGTTAACTATGAGTATGGATTATGGACTCAGGTGCAAAGAGATAACTGGGACACACTTCTGATTACAGGAGTTGAGTGAACATGTCATTCTTCTAGGGGGAGCGATGGCAGGGCAGGTGGGCGGAGACTAGGTTATAAACAACCAACAGGGATGTACCTCAGAGTATGGGGGCGGGGCGAGCATGTCACACTTCCTGAGGGAGTGGTGACGGGGCAGGTGGGCGGAGCAGGAGCGGTGGAGGCGGTAGGACAAGAGGGAGGTGGTCTCGCTGGAGCTGGTGTCGTCAGGCAGGAAGTAGCGGTCGTAGTAAGCGTTTGGGTGACGACGGTCGTAGAAGTCATACACGCTATGGCCTGTGGGAGGGAGTTCTTTAATTGTCTGTCTGAATTGTTGTTTTAAGCCCTTTCATTTTAAGCTTAATTCATGCTGTTGTCATGAGGAAGCAAACAACACAATATATGTTTCTCATAGTACACTTATATACATGAGGAGAATAGTACAGTACAGTATACATCATACTTATTCACTTTAAAAAATCTATAAAATTGCCATGGTCCATCACGGAGGAAACAGTTTTTTTATACAAGCGATTTACTTTATAATATCTCTTTTATGTCATAAGACAGTGGTCTTATGGCTATTTTCCAAGTTTGTGTAGGTTAGCCATGATTAAACTCATGCAATCCTTGATGTAGCTAGTCTTCTCCAGTTTCTCCATATGCCCAAACATCTCAGCCTACCTCTAAGCAAAACTTCACCAATATAGTTAATACCCAGGGAAGGGTTGGGTCTTCACCTCTGTCTGTTAACAACTGTAAATTAAGAATGGTAGTACCAGTTCCTTCTTCTTCTTCTTCTTGTGATAAAGACTAATGTCTTCTTCTTCATCTTTTGTTGTTTTCTTTGTCTATGTCTTTGTTTTTTTCTCAGACTCTTTTTTGGTGTGTGTGTGTGTGTGTGTGTGTGTGTGTGTGTGTGTGTGTGTGTGTGTGTGTGTGTAACCTTCTTCTCTATCTGTCTACCTTACTATCCGTTTGTCCGTTCATCTCCATCTCAACCCTCCTTTCTCTCTTTCTCTTCCATCCCTCCCCTTCCTCCTTCCTTCTCCATTTTCCTCCTCCATCTCTTCTTTCCTCCTCTCTACCCCCCTTTCAACACACCCCCCCCAACACACCATAATCTCATCCCCACAAAACCACATTTTAATTTCCAGACTGAGGAGGTTACATGGTCATCAGTCGTCCAGCTTCTGATAGCTAGGCCAAGTGAGGGACATTCTGATAAGGGAGTTGAAGAAGTAAGGGGTGGGAGAGAGGGGCGGTATGGGGGGAGAGATGAGGGTAAGGGAAGGGTGAAGGTGGGGGAGGTGGAGGGTGGGAGAGACAGGTGAGGGTGGGGATGGGGGAGGAGATGAAAGTGGGGGAAGATATGAGGTCATGGAAAGGTGGAGGTGGAGGGGAGGGGTGAGGGTGGGGAGAGGAGGGTGGGGGAAGAACAGTGCGGGGAAGGGTGTGGAGGTGGTGGCTGTGGTCTCTCTCTCTCTCTCTCTCTCTCTATCTTACATACAAAAACTAACTCTATCTCTCTCTCTCTCTTTCCGACTCAAATTAACTCTTTCTCTTTTACTCACAACCCGTTTCTCACTATCACACATGCTATTTACTCCTTCACTAAGCCACGAGAGAGAGAGAGAGAGAGAGAGAGAGAGAGAGCAACTAACTCACTTCACTACTCACCAGCCAACATAGCATCGTAGAGGTGCTGCTCCAGGGGGTCGAAAGAAGGCCTAGCTGCCTCACTGTAGGGTGGAGGCGCAGGGTATGGCGTGGGCGGGAGGAAGGGCAACGGCGGACCATACATGGGTGTGTCGTCGGAGGGCGTGGGCGTGGCATAGGCGTGGGCATGGCCGAGGGTCTGGGAGGCGGAGGACTCGTAGATTTTCCTCCTGCGCCAGTAACCGCAACCAGCCAGGCACGACACCACCAGCAGCGCCACCATCACCCTGGTGGTGACAAATATAACTAACAAATGTAAACACAACTTATAAGTATAAACAAAGTAAAAACACTCAAAGTCTGTTTCTGGATCAAGGTGCAATACAAATGTACTATATATCAAGGCAATCGGATCAGTAACACAGGAGACACGCAAATGTATTTTGTTAGATGGAAGAAACAATAAAAAATATCTAAACCACAACAACAACAACTAATGTCTATACCCAATGAAACCAGATATAAACATAAATAAAATGGTGAACTCGAGAAGGAAATCAAACCACATCTGAAATACAACAATCAGTCGACAAAGGCCACTCACAACTTTGATCTGACCATTACCACAAACTTGTCAAAACTCACCATGGTCAATGTTTTAAAACTGAATAGGGTACCAGGTGTGTTCTACTGTCTTACCAGGTGTGTTCTACTGTCTTACCAGGTGTGTTCTACTGTCTTACCGGGTCTACCCATAGCACTCGGCCTCTCAGTCGTCAGGATTTAACGTCACTCAAAATACCACAAACGCCTTAATATTAATTATCTTCCTGTATTGTTTCATCCAAAGTCTAATTAAGCCAAGTCTACCCACTCACATGGGCGGAGCTTATTGTGATATCGTTGGGTGGAGTTTATTATGTGACGTCGTTGGGTGCAGCTTATTATGTGACGTAATTGGGTGGAGTTTATTATGTGACGTCGTTGGGTGCAGCTTATTATGTGACATAATTGGGTGGAGTTTATTATGTGACGTCGTTGGGTGCAGTTTATTATATGACGTAATTGGGTGGAGTTTATTATGTAACGTCGTTGGGGTGCAGCTTATTATATGACGTAATTGGGTGGAGTTTATTATGTGACGTCGTTGGCCGTAGTGGAAGAAAACGGTAGTAAGGGAGGACTCGTATATTATCATGGGTGAGACCGCCCCACTGTATTAGAAGGTATTCTTGCCGTATACCTGTATCCTGATTTTCTTATCCCTAGCACCCTACCTTTCAGTTAGCCACTTGAACTTCTCATGTACAGTATTCATTATTTTTATGATATTCCTATTCTTATTATTAAAAATTTATTATTATTATTAATAACAACCCTCTTCTTCCTCTCTTTATTATTATTTATAATCTTATGATTTTACTGCCAGTATCAGTGTATAAGCAATTAAGTAATCGTAGGCATATGAGCTAGCTATTTACTGGGGAGGGGAGGAACAAAAGGAATACAAGAATTAAATAATATAGTTAAAAAAAATTAAATGATTATAATTATCATTCTCTCTCTCTCTCTCCCCAAGCTATTTGAGTAAATCAATGAATAAAAGTACATATGTGTAGAAATTTTCAATTTATCAATTTGGCCACTAGATATATTACAGATGACTAGGCTATACAACAGTTTCAAGCAACAAATAGGTACAGTACTTGTCTCTCAACTTTTGGTTTCCTGGCCGAAAGTTAGACTTTAGGGAATTTAGATATAATCCTGCCAACGGCTCTCAAGTATTGCCCTTCCTCCTGTTGCACCATATATATTTGCTGCATGCACAATAAAATCCACTTTTGTCTCCGTTTTTCATCCTTTGGAAATCGATGAAATCTGAAGCTTTTATCATGTAGTCTGTAATTTGATATGCATCCAAATACGGACCATTTATCAGGCATTGTCATAGACCTTCACACCATGGCGGCCAGCTGGTAACTGAGCCAAGTTAGGTAGATACCTACCTTGAACTGAGCTCCCACCCCGGACCCCACCCACCCGGGGCTGCCGGCCAGATGACGTCATGCGCGGTGAAGGACGAATTTTCGACTCAAAGTGAGTTGACTTGATATAATTGGACTTTAGTTTTATCTACACCTCGCACCTGCTGTCTTTTCCACAATCCTCCTCAGCTATTAACTTGCCCATATTTCAATCGATGGGTTCCGCAAAACTTTCAAATCAGTATTGTACCCACGTCCTATCTCCCCACTGCTTCAAAACCACAATACATCATCAGCTTTAACAATCAACAGTCTTTAGCAATGCTCTCCAGTTTGTAATGGCATGGTTGAGAGAACTACCCCAGGCAAACATTCGCTGACCTTCTGCCTGCAGTGGCATTTCTTCTACAACATGAGGGAGAGTAGTGCTTCACCACTCACCAGAAGTACCAGTTTGTCCACAGAGGTAGCACGTGTGGGTATATGGGCGGAGTCTGCACAGGTGGCAGAGCTTGCTGATTGGTGTTTTGTGGCGGGGGCGGACCTTGAGGCAGCGGGGGCGGGGCCTGTGGTGGCCAGGGACTTTCTGGAGGATCACAACACCCTCCTGGCCGCTCCTCACAGCTGTCAACACAAAACTCATCTTACACAGGAAAAATTTATTATGATAAAACCAAATTTCACTCCTCATAGCTGCAAATTAATATCTTAATTACTAATATAAAATGTAATTAACGCAAAACGATGACATATACACAAGTGTAAATGATTTGGCTCGGTATATCATGGTAATAAGTGACTGGGTAGAATGTGCTAGAATTTTTACCTATGGCATCAAAAATACGAAAGATCAGTGTTTCATTTATGATTTCTGGGGAACACCAAGACAAAACTATACGTGTACTTAGTAATATTTGTAAATAAATGCGCAAACTACAAGTGACTGAATGAGTTGAAATCAGTTTGATGACAAACATATACGAATTTACTAGATGCACTGTGGGAGTGAGTTCATTTCATTGTTTCTAATGTTTTAATAAACGACTCCAAGAATGGTATGATATTTTTTCTCGTTTAAGTCGTGTTGAATAACTTTTAAAACTCCCATTTCCGTAGTTCTTCCTTTAGTGTTTTTAAGTAATGTAATATTGTTATTATTTTTGTCTGGAAGTTGCTGTAACAATGCGTCACATTTTGTTGTGTAAAACTGATCTCCTGTGACGTCATGCATTAAAAGTTACCCGCCTCAAAATGATACGTCCCACCACTCACTCCCACTAGGTTCTCTATAGATTTGTATGTAAATATATCAAACTAAACAATGATCCGTGACGTCATGAATAAAAATTATGTTTCGGCCAATAACTCATACAAGGCATCGTTTTAAAATCCCCTTTAGAGTGATGACCTTGTGGCAGACCATAGCAATCACAGCACTAATCTACGGTGTTCGCCCACCACTCTGTGAAAAAAGACTTTACAGGTCCTCCGTCCTAAACATGTGATGTAGAATTTAAGGGAAGACAAAAAACGAAGACAGACATTAAGGGAAGACAAGGATATGATAGACCAATAAAATGTATATTTTACTTACTACATCTGGCCGACCTCACATGGTTCTGAGGACACCTGGAAGACAGAAACTGATTAATGCTCATAGAACAGGTGCTTACAGGTTTATTGTAGAGGTAGGTAAAGTTATAACTAATATATATATATATATATATATATATATATATATATATATATATATATATATATATATATATATATATATACATATATATAAGTTTACTTACTGGTACATACGCCTTACATATTTAAATATTAAATATCTATGATATGAATCATTATGGATAAAATAAAGATGAAAACAAATAATATTTTGATTTTTCACAAAATAATCAACATTGAAATGTACTCATAATAATAATCATAATAATAATAATAATAATAATAATAATAATAATAATAATAATAAAAGAAACTGAGTGAAGGTGATGATTGTGGAAGAAGTACATAACTTTGTGTGATGTAGACGGAGGAAGGTGATGATCGAACATGACCCAGCTATTTCTTACACAAAGATACAAGGTTTCATGTTGATCCACAAAGTCTATCTCAAGTTACTGAATGAAAAAAAAAAAGTCTTACGGACAGTAAGGCGTAACACCACATGACCACCTATAGGCACCGACCCATTTTCTATGGTTAGGGTATAAAAAACGAGATCTTGATAATACTGTATAACACTTATATTAGCAAAATAATATGCATACTCAAAATTTCGTGTTTGTTGTTAAAATTTGAAGAAGTCATACTAGAAAAATAAAAAATTTATCCTCATTAACAATCTCATAGAAGTGTATATGATTAAAACAATGACGATACACACTGATGAAGCGCAAACTGTGACGTCACAAAAGTCATTACCAAGGCAATACACCGCAGTTACCACGTCACAACTGGTTTGGTATTTGAAATTAATCTGAAGGCTGATAAACGTAAACAGAGAGAGAGAGAGAGAGAGAGAGAGAGAGAGAGAGAGAGACAGAGAGAGAGAGTGTAACATTAAAAGAGAGGCTCAACCGCACCTGTGAAAATATCCAGTGGCGCCAATTTATGGGTGGATGGCATGTGGTGGCGAGGCGCGCACCCAGTCATGAAACCTACGTGAACTGGTGTTGTTATCTTCACTTACTGCTGCACCTGTGTCTCACCTTGATGTATGCTGCTGTCTTTGTTTCACACACACACACACACACACACACACACACACACACACACACACACACACACACACACACACACACACACAGCAACAAGAGCAGCGTCAGCACAAGGAAGAAGAGGAGGATCAATGGGAGGGGAGGGAGGGAGGGGGCGCCCTGGACGGACCATCAGATGGACCCAGATTTGTGGGTCCCCCCCCCCCTTACCCCAGTCAGGCCTACTTATTGAACCACCACCACGTTGCCCGGGCTAGGGAGGGGAGGGGGGGTCCAGGGAGAGTGGTTGGAGGCCATGCACGGTAAGTTAGGCAGGTGGGAGGAGGTGAGGAGGGAAAAGGAGGGAGGAAAGGATTGGGAGAAGGAAAGGGAGGGGAGGTGAGGAAGACGGGGCTGGGGGAGTGAAGGTCAGGAGGAGGCGCAGCGGAAGAGGGTCAGGGTGAGGTGAGGGAGGAGGAGACGCATGGAGGGAAGATACTGTACAGGTAAGATGGAGGGACGGTGAGGAAAGTAGATGAAAGGTGGAGGGAAGATGGAGGTAAGGTGAGGTAAGGATTAAGGTAAGATAGGTAAGGTGGAGGAAGATGGAGGTAAGATGGAGGTAAGGTGGAGGTAAGGATGGAGGTAAGGTGGAGGTAAGGTGGAGGTGATATGGAGGTAAGGTGGAGGTAAAGTGAGGTAAGGGATTGAGGTAAAGGGAAGTGATGGAGGTGATGGAGGTAAGGAGGTAAGATGAGGTAATATGGAGGTAAGGTGGAGGTAATATGAG